TTTATGTAGACTGTTAAGTCTTCTGTCGGTCTACATGTTTGTGCTAATGATTTGTTAACTGCATTTTGGCCTCACATATGAATGTGTGCCCCAAGAATGCTGGATTTTTTCTGCTAGAACTTAAAAGAGAAGTACAGCCATCTTTGGGCAGTGCTTCTCCTGTGGAGCACATGAGTTTAGGTCGTTCTGCTCTCCTGTGACCCGTTTTCAGCTGACAGCAGGCTGAAGCTGCTGTCAGCTGACGTCACTAAGCCGGCCCAGGCTGGGGTAAGATCCCAATTTTAAAGTCAGGATCCACCCCAGAGTCTGGCGTGGCAACCGGCTCAGCCTTTCAGCGATCTTCTGAGAGCCTGAGCCAGCAGAGCAGACAGTGATGACTGACAGTTACCACTCTGCTCAGAGCGGCAGTGAGAAGTCAGCGTTCAGCAGTCATATGATCTCAGCTTAGAGCAGAGGGAGAACTGAGAGATCAGCAGTGTTTGATCGCTCAGTTCTCAGTCAGACCCGGCGAGGGACAGAAACAGCATTGGACTGATGCTACATCCACCTAGGTAAGTTTGATTTTACAAAAAACAAATTCCCATACTTCTCTTTTAATGTTGTGTGAAAGTGCATATTGCGTTGAGTGTAAATGCATTCTACTGGCCAAAATATTAATTTATTCTGGCTGCTGGAGTACATTTCTGCTCATATGCATGCAATATATGCTCATAAGCTCCTCTGTGAGCACAACTTTGGTGCATTTTTTATGCTTCTGAACTCTGCTCATTTTGCGTTGATTGTTAGGCGCTGTCATCTGCCGGCATTGTAACAACCAGTGACTCATCCATGCTGTCAGCCAGCAGGAATGAGTCATCTGTTGTTAAGGAGCTGGCACCCATCTGCTTTCTAACAATGATGAGTCATCCCTGCTGTCAAAGGGGATTCCCTACTGACAGCAGAATGAAAACAAAAGGGTCTGGTATGGATTTTAAGGGGATCCCCACATCAAAATATGTAGTTGCGTACCCCCACAAAATCCATAACAGACTCTTATACCCTTATAAGCATGCAGCCCCGTTTGAATTACCTGCTGACAGCAGGGATGACTCATGGTTGTTAGGACACTGGCAGGTGCTGGCTCTTCAACAACCAGTGGCCCATCCCCACTGTTGATGGCAGGGATGACTCATGGTTGTTAGGACACTGGCAGGTGCTGACTCTTTTTACAACCAGTGGCTCATCCCCACTGCTGATGGCAGAGATGACTCATGGTTGTTAGGACACTGGCAGATGCTGGCTCTTTAACAACCAATGACTCATCCCCACTGCTGATGGCAGGGATGACTCATGGTTGTTAGGACACCAGTGGGTGTCAGCTCCTTAACAACAGATGATGTATCCCTGCTGGCTGACAGCAGGGATGAGTCACTGGTTGGGAAGCCGGCGGGTATCGGTCCTTAAAGGCAAAGCTCAAAAACGCTTGACTAAACGTCCAAAAGAACAGTCATAGACAGGACGCTCAGGTGTGAATGCAGCATAACATACAGGGGAAACCTGGATATCATCAAGATTTCATCTTTTGCAGGATATCAAGATTTCTTCTTTTGCAGTTAGTAGCACTGAAGTGATAGATGACTTGTGCTGAGGCTCCTTGGAATTCCTGACCATTAAAATATTGCAATAATCTGGTCTAATAACACATACTTTTAAGCAGCTGGCAAACACAGATATTGGCCTGCATGACTCAGCTGCCATTGCAGAGCTACTGACTTCAAGTTACTGTATAAAATGATATATCTGGATAACATGATACTGTAGAAGAGATTCATGTACAGAATTCCTTCTGCTGCTTGTTCATATTACTGAAAATCCCAAGGCGATAATTGTTGCCAGTCAAGTTAAAGTTGGATTTATGTAATCTGAGCATTATGGAACCCAAGGAATCTTTATCCAAATATCTTTAGCCCAATATTGGGCTTTGGCTTGTGAAGTGGAATTTTTTTGAGCACCAAAATATGTTGAATAGTCTCAGAATAAAGAAATTGCGGGATGCGTTGGTGATAAAGTCACATACAACCAAAAACACAACTCTTCTATAGTTTTTTCAAAGGTTTGCAACTCTTTTTTTTTTTCTCTTTTTTTTTTGTGAAAACAGTGTTACACTGTATGTTGGTGCCATATGAGTTAAAAAATGTGTTTGGCAAGTGCTCAGCAAGTCCAAGCCAAATAACTGAGGCAGAAGAATAACTGATGCAACTCTGATGAGTTTGGCAGCAAATTCAACATGATATGACAACTCAACAACTCTAAGAATTGGAGGCTTTCAATTCCGCGATGAACAAATTGTGTAATGACTTTGATGAATTAGAATTAGTGGGCATAAACATAGTTTGATTTTGTGTACTGATGTACAGTCAGTTTATAGTAGCTGCTCTTCTATAGCACATAAAAGGCATGTATAGTATGTTTTCAGTGAGGACATATTTGCATTATTTACCTTTTAAGCAAGATTTTTGATGTCATTTTTTGGCATGCTTGCTCTTCTGGAATTTTGTTATTGTATTAAAATGTATCTCTACCTAAATCTTTTTTCTTTTAGTTTTGGATAGAGTGGGGAAAGGTTAGAACCTTGTCATGGGAGTTTTAGTGTGATACAGTCAGGTCCATAAATATTGGGACATCGACACAATTCTAACATTTTTGGCTCTATACACCACCACAATGGATTTGAAATGAAACAAACAAGATGTGCTTTAACTGCAGACTGTCAGCTTTAATTTGAGGGTATTTACATCCAAATCAGGTGAACGGTGTAGGAATTACAACAGTTTGCATATGTGCCTCCCACTTGTTAAGGGACCAAAAGTAATGGGACAGAATAATAATCATAAATCAAACTTTCACTTTTTAATACTTGGTTGCAAATCCTTTGCAGTCAATTACAGCCTGAAGTCTGGAACGTATAGACATTACCAGACACTGGGTTTCATCCCTGGTGATGCTCTGCCAGGCCTCTACTGCAACTGTCTTCAGTTCCTGCTTGTTCTTGGGGCATTTTCCCTTCAGTTTTGTCTTCAGCAAGTGAAATGCATGCTCAATCAGATTCAGGTCAGGTGATTGACTTGGCCATTGCATAACATTCCACTTCTTTCCCTTAAAAAACTCTTTGGTTGCTTTTGCAGTATGCTTTGGGTCATTGTCCATCTGCACTGTGAAGTGGCGTCCAATGAGTTGTGAAGCATTTGGCTGATTATGAGCAGATAATATTGCCCAAAAAAACTTCAGAATTCATCCTGCTGCTTTTGTCAGCAGTCACATCATCAATAAATACAAGAGAACCAGTTCCATTGGCAGCCATACATGCCCACGCCATGACACTACCACCACCATGCTTCACTGATGAGATGGTATGCTTAGGATCATGAGCAGTTCCTTTCCTTCTCCATACTCTTCTCTTCCCATCACTCTGGTACAAGTTGATCTTGGTCTCATCTGTCCATAGGATGTTGTTCCAGAACTGTGAAGGCTTTTTTAGATGTCGTTTGGCAAACTCTTATCTGGCCTTCCTGTTTTTGAGGCTCACCAATGGTTTACATCTTGTGGTGAACCTTCTGTATTCACTCTGGTGAAGTCTTCTCTTGATTGTTGACTTTGACACACATACACCTACCTCCTGGAGAGTGTTCTTGATCTGGCCAACTGTTGTGAAGGGTGTTTTCTTCACCAGGGAAAGAATTCTTCGGCCATCCACCACAGTTGTTTTCCGTGGTCTTCCAGGTCTTTTGGTGTCGCTAAGCTCACCGTTGCGTTCCTTCTTTTTAAGAATGTTGTTTTGGCCATGCCTAATGCTTTTGCTATCTCTCTGATGGGTTTGTTTTGTTTTTTCAGCCTAATGATGGCTTGCTTCACTGATAGTGACAGCTCTTTGGATCTCATCTTGAGAGTTGACAGCAACAGATTCCAAATGCAAATAGCACACTTGATATGAAACTCTGGACCTTTTATATGCTCATTGTAATTGGGATAATGAGGGAATAACACACACCTGGCCATGGAACAGCTGAGAAGCCAATTGTCCCATTACTTTTGGTCCCTTAACAAGTGGGAGGCACATATGCAAACTGTTGTAATTCCTACACCGTTCACCTGATTTGAATGTAAATACCCTCAAATTAAAGCTGACAGTCTGCAGTTAAAGCACATCTTCATTTCAAATCCATTGTGGCGGTGTATAGAGCCAAAAATGTTAGAATTGTGTCCATGTCCCAATATTTATGGACCTGGCTGTATGTAAAAAGGTAAATGACCACAGTTCAGTATATAAGTGTTCTCCTTTCCTTTTCTTTTTTTTCTCAAAGTAAAGCCGGCCATACATGGGTTTAATTCTGAAAGATTTTTCTTTTGCAAATCTTTTGTAAGCATTTTCATTCTAATTTCACACCATTAATGGGCCCCAGCAATGGCCGATTTTCAAGTGATCATTGAATTTGAGTGATCAGGGATGTTGGAAATTTTTTGAAAAATTAACAAATTTCTAATCAACAATGGGAGAATCATATGAGAAATGTAATTGAAAGTGAAATGAGCATTAGCTGTGACCTGGAAAGAAAAGAAAATTCTTGGCCATGAAAATTCTTTTCTTTTAGCAACTTGAGGTGAAATTAAAGGTTTGGTTGGTGAAATTTCGAAATCAATGGTGGCACCATCGGATTACAAAACACACATTTCTGATTTTCTAAAGGAAATCCGTTTGGAATTCGACCCATGTATGGCCAGCATTACTGTTAGCGCATGTTCTCTTTAATAAATATTGGGTCACTGTTGTCCATAACATACACAAATCTACAAATTTTCGGGTGCAGTTGTGCAAGTCTTCACAGTTTGCTGCTGAAATGCTGCCACAGTGTGCTTTGTTGTGTTTGTTTATATAAAGAAATCCTAATTTTAGTGATGTAACATGGCTTTGAGATATTAATATCTGCTGCAACTTGAATACTTTACTGTATTCTTTTACTTTAGGTTTACCAATCAAACCTTGGAATGAGAGCCCCACAGAGTCCCTCCCATGACTATAATCGAGATGGAAGAAAAGTAAGTTTCCCTAGTGTACTGTGGTGTTGAATGAAAGATTTTAAATTGTTCATAATTAAGGCAAATGCTGTTTTGACAGAAGATTTATTGCTGTGTTTTTATGTATTGTATGAACTTAACCACTTCAAGTCCAGACACTTTCACCCCTTTCCAGTCCTGGCCAATTTCCAGCTTTCAGTGCTGTCACACTTTGAGTTACAATTACTCAGTCATTCAACACTGTACCAAAATAATTTTTTATCATTTTTTTTTTAGACGGACCTTTCCTTAGGTGGTATTTAATCGCCACTGTTTTTTTTTTGCTATATAAATAAAAAACGACCAAAATTAAAAAAAGTTTAGTTTTTGTTATAAAATATTGCAAATAAATAATCTTTCTTCATACATTTAGGCCAAAATGTATATTCTGCTACTTTTTTTGTAAAATTGATCAATTGAGATACCATACCGTACACTAATATGGGGTAAGGCAGTGATCAGAGCATTTGGTATGAGGTATTGTGGTGATCAGGATGTTGGTATGGTGGTGATCAAGACATTGGTATGGAGGTGATCAGAATGCTGGGGTATGGCGGTGATTAGGACGCTGGTATGGTTTGTGACAGTGATCAGGACACTGGTATAGTTTGTGACAGTGATCAGGACACTGGTTTGTGACAGTGATCAGTGGTATAGTTTGTGACAGTGATCAGGATCAGGACACTGGTATAGTTTGTGACAGTGATCAGGACACTGGTATAGTTTGTGACAGTGATCAGGACACTGGTATGATGATCAGGACACTGGTATGGTTTGTGACAGTGATCAGGACACTGGTATGGTTTGTGACAGTGATCAGGACACTGGTATGGTTTGTGACAGTGATCAGGACACTGGTATGGTTTGTGACAGTGATCAGGACACTGGTATGGTTTGTGACAGTGATCAGGACACTGGTATGGTTTGTGACAGTGATCAGGACACTGGTATAGTTTGTGACAGTGATCAGGACACTGGTATAGTTTGTGACAGTGATCAGGACACTGGTATGTTTGTGACAGTGATCAGGACACTGGTATCAGGATCAGGACACTGGTATGGTTTGGTTTGTGACAGTGATCAGGACACTGGTATGGTTTGTGACAGTGATCAGGACACTGGTATAGTTTTGTGACAGTGATCAGGACACTGGTATAGTTTGTGACAGTGATCAGGACACTGGTATGAGTTTGTGACAGTGATCAGGACACTGGTATGGTTTGTGACAGTGATCAGGACACTGGTATGGTTTGTGACAGTGATCAGGACACTGGTATGGTTTGTGACAGTGATCAGGACACTGGTATGGTTTGTGACAGTGATCAGGACACTGGTATGGTTTTGTGACAGTGATCAGGACACTGGTATGGTTTGTGACAGTGATCAGGACACTGGTATGGTTTGTGACAGTGATCAGGACACTGGTATGACATATTAGGTGATCAGAACACTGGTTTGGGTATAGCGGTGATCAGGATGCTGGTATGGGGTATGGCGGTGATCAGGACGCTGGTATGGTTTGTGACAGTGATCAGGACACTGGTATAGGTTTGTGACAGTGATCAGGACACTGGTATGGTTTGTGACAGTGATCAGGACACTGGTATGGTTTGTGACAGTGATCAGGACACTGGTATGCATATTAGGTGATCAGAAACACTGGTTTGAGGTATAGCGGTGATCAGGATGCTGGGATGGGGTATGGCGGTGATCAGGACACTGGTATGGTTTGTGTGACAGTGATCAGGACACTGGTATGGTTTGTGACAATGATCAGGACACTGGTATGGTTTGTGACAGTGATCAGGACACTGGTATGGTTTGTGACAGTGATCAGGACACTGGTATGGTTTGTGACAGTGATCAGGACACTGGTATGGTTTGTGACAGTGATCAGGACACTGGTATGGTTTGTGACAGTGATCAGGACACTGGTATGGTTTGTGACAGTGATCAGGACACTGGTATGGTTTGTGACAGTGATCAGGACACTGGTATGGTTTGTGACAGTGATCAGGACACTGGTATGGTTTGTGACAGTGATCAGGACACTGGTATGGTTTGTGACAGTGATCAGGACAGGATCAGGACTGGTATGGTTTATGTTTGTGACAGTGATCAGGACACTGGTATGACATATTAGGTGATCAGAACACTGGTTTGAGGTATAGCGGTGATCAGGATGCTGGGATGGGGTATGGCGGTGATCAGGACGCTGGTATGGTTTGTGACAGTGATCAGGACACTGGTATAGTTTGTGACAGTGATCAGGACACTGGTATGATTTGTGACAGTGATCAGGACACTGGTATGGTTTGTGACAGTGATCAGAGACACTGGTATGACATATTAGGTGATCAGAACACTGGTTTGAGGTATAGCGGTGATCAGGATGCTGGTATGGGGTATGGCGGTGATCAGGATGCTGGTATGGTTTGTGATAGTGATCAGGACGCTGGTTTGGTTTGTGACAGTGATCAGGACGCTGGTATGGTTTGTGACAGCGATCAGGATGCTGGTATGGTTTGTGACAGTGATCAGGACACTGGTATGGTTTGTGACAGTGATCAGGACACTGGTATGATTTGTGACAGTGATCAGGACACTGGTATGGTTTGTGACAGTGATCAGGACACTGGTATGACATATTAGGTGATCAGAACACTGGTTTGAGGTATATCGGTGATCAGGATGCTGGGATGGGGTATGGCGGTGATCAGGATGCTGGTATGGTTTGTGACAGTGATCAGGATGCTGGTATGGTTTGTGACAGCGATCAGGATGCTGGTATGGTTTGTGACAGTGATGGTGGACACTGGTATGACATATTAGGTGATCAAAACACTGGTTTGAGGTATAGCGGTGATCAGGATGCTGGGATGGGGTATATGGCGGTGATCAGGATGATGGTATGGTTTGTGATAGTGATCAGGACGCTGGGTTTGGTTTGTGACAGAGATCAGGATGCTGGTATGGTTTGTGACAGCGATCAGGATGCTGGTATGGTTTGTGACAGTGATCAGGACACTGGTATGGTTTGTGACAGTGATCAGGACACTGGTATGACATATTAGGTGATCAGAACACTGGTTTGGAGGTATGGCGGTGATCAGGATGCTGGGATGGGGTTATGGCGGTGATCAGGATGCTGGTATGGTTTGTGACAGTGATCAGGATGCTGGTGGTTTGGTTTGGTATGGTTTGTGACAGCGATCAGGATGCTGGTATGGTTTGTGACAGTGATCAGGACACTGGTATGACATATTAGGTGATCAGAACACTGGTTTGAGGTATAGCGGTGATCAGGATGCTGGGATGGGGTATGGCGGTGATCAGGATGCTGGTATGGTTTGTGATAGTGATCAGGACGCTGGGTTTGGTTTGTGACAGTGATCAGGACGCTGGTATGGTTTGTGACAGCGATCAGGATGCTGGTATGGTTTGTGACAGTGATCAGGACACTGGTATGACATATTAGGTGATCAGAACACTGGTTTGAGGTATAGCGGTGATCAGGATGCTGGGATGGGGTATGGGCGGTGATCAGGATGCTGGTATGGTTTGTGACAGCGATCAGGATGCTGGTATGGTTTGTGACAGCGATCAGGATGCTAGATATGATGCTGGTATGGTTTGTGTGACAGTGATCAGGACACTGGTATGACATATTAGGTGATCAAAACACTGGTTTGAGGTATAGCGGTGATCAGGATGCTGGGATGGGGTATGGCGGTGATCAGGATGATGGTATGGTTTGTGATAGTGATCAGGACGCTGGGTTTGGTTTGTGACAGTGATCAGGATGCTGGTATGGTTTGTGACAGTGATCAGGACGCTGGTATGGTTTGTGACAGTGATCAGGACACTGGTATGACGCTGGTATGGTTTGTGACAGTGATCAGGACACTGGTATGGGGTTTTGTGACAGTGATCAGGACGCTGGTATGGTTTGTGACAGTGATCAGGACGCTGGTATGGTTTGTGACAGTGATCAGGACACTGGTATGGTTTGTGACAGTGATCAGGACACTGGTATGGTTTGTGACAGTGATCAGGACACTGGTATGACATATTAGGTGATCAGAACACTGGTTTGAGGTTTAGCGGTGATCAGGATGCTGGATGGGGTATGTTCAGGATGCTGGTATGGTTTGTGATGGCGGTGATCAGGATGCTGGTATGGTTTGTGATAGTGATCAGGACGCTGGGTTTGGTTTGTGACAGTGATCAGGACGCTGGTATGGTTTGTGACAGCGATCAGGATGCTGGTATGGTTTGTGACAGTGATCAGGACACTGGTATGACATATTAGGTGATCAGAACACTGGTTTGAGGTATAGCGGTGATCAGGATGCTGGGATGGGGTATGGCGGTGATCAGGATGCTGGTATGGGACGCTGGGTTTGGTTTGTGACAGCGATCAGGATGCTGGTATGGTTTGTGACAGCGATCAGGATGCTGGTATGGTTTGTGACAGTGATCAGGACACTGGTATGGTATTGTGAGTGATCAGGACACTGGTTTGAGGTGATCAGAAACACGGTTTGAGATCGGTGATCAGGATGCTGGGATGGGGTATGGCGGTGATCAGGATGATGGTATGGTTTGTGATAGTGATCAGGACGCTGGGTATGGTTTGTGACAGAGATCAGGATGCTGCTATGGTTTGTGACAGTGATCAGGACGCTGGTATGGTTTGTGACAGTGATCAGGACGCTGGTATGGTTTGTGACAGTGATCAGGACACTGGTATAGTTTGTGACAGTGATCAGGACGCTGGTATGGTTTGTGACAGTGATCAGGACGCTGGTATGGTTTGTGACAGTGATCAGGACACTGGTATGGTTTGTGACAGTGATCAGGACACTGGTATGGTTTGTGACAGTGATCAGGACACTGGTATGACATATTAGGTGATCATGATGCTGGTATGGCATATGTCGGTGATCAGAGTGATGGTAGGGCAGTGATCAGGGTGTTGGTATGCTATTTAGATGTGATCATGGTGCTGGTATGTGATATGGCGGTGATCAGGACATTGGTATGGTGTATGGCAGTGTTTTTGTGAGCACCAGGACAAGGGCTGGCTGCATTTTTTTTATTATTCCAACACTGGGGCAGTGAACACTGGAGTGGCTGGCACTGCAGTCTGGGTGTAAAAGCAGCCCAACAGGGCTGCACACTCACAGGCTGCAGATTCGGTTCTCTTTGCTCTCATAGTTAAAGCAGAGGGAACTGATACTTGCTTTCACTTTCTATTGTTTACTATGTGTTTGGGTTGGATAAAAGAGGTATAGATTCCAGAGAGAGAGAGATCATTTTACCCCTGTACGTTAGGAAGACCTCATCTGGAGCATACAATTGGGGAACTGGAGAAAGTACAGAGAAGGGCAACCAAACTGATAAGAGGCATGGAGGAGCTCAGCTATGAGGAAAGAATAGAGAAACTGAATGTATTCTCTCTTGAGAAGAAGAGATTAAGGGGGGATATGATCAACGTATAAATACATCAGTGGTTCATATAGTGAACTCGGTGTAGAGTTATTCACTTTGAGGTCATCACAGAGGACAAGGGGGCACTCTTTATGTCTGGAGGAAAAGAAATGTAATTTCCAAACACGGAAAGGTTTCTTCACAGTGAGAGCTGTGAAAATGTGGAATAGACTCCCTCAAGAGTTGGTTCTGGCCAGCTCAGTGAATTGCTTTAAAAAGGCCTGGATTGTTTCTTAGATACACAGAATATAACTGGATACTAACATTTATAGGTAAAGTTGATCCAGGGAATATCTGATTGCCTCTCGGGGGATCAGGAAGGAATTTTTTCCCTTGCAGGAGCAAATTGGATCATGCTTTGGTGGGGGTTTTTTTTTGCCTTCCTCTGTGGGTATAGGATTATATACTGTGGGTATAGGATTATAAATTTTTATTTTCTTGAACTGGATGGACCTTTGTCTTTTTTTCAGCCAGACTAACTATGTAACTATGTTAAAATGGCATGTAATCACCTGGACACAGGGGTAATGTTATCTGCTGTGTCCAGGTGACACATGGATCTCTGGGCTACCAGGTGCGCCCTCTGTGAGTCTTTCAGGAACCGCCCATGCGGTCTGATGTATACGAACGTAGCCCACATTGGCACTGCTTCCTGTACACCATTTATAGGCAATGGGTAGACAGGAAGTGGTTAAAGGATAACTATAATTAAAAAAAAAAAAAAAAAAAATCAGCACATACTGCCTCGAAAACAGCATACATGTGCATTAACCTAACCCCAGAGATGAGCATTCCAGTGATGTGACTGCTGTGATTGGCTGGCACAGCGATCACATGATCAGAAAGCTCACGATCACAAGTATGCATTGGAAGCTTTCTGTTACATGTTAGTTGCTGTGCTGGGAGTGCACAGTGAGCATCCTCTCAACACAGTAAATTGTTCACAAATAGATGCACATACAGTGGGGCAAAAAAGTATTTAGTCAGCCACCAATTGTGCAAGTTCTCCCACTTAAAAAGATGAGAGAGGCCTGTAATTGGCATCATAGGTAGACCTCAACTATGAGAGACAAAATGAGAAAAAAAAATCCAGACAATCACATTGGCTGATTTGGAAAGAATTAATTTGCAAATTATGGTGGAAAATAAGTATTTGGTCAATATCAAAAGTTCATCTCAATACTTTGTTATATATCCTTTGTTGCCAATGACAGAGGTCAAACGTTTCCTGTAAGTCTTCACAAGGTTGGCACACACTGTTGCTGGTATCTTGGCCCATTCCTCCATGCAGATCTCCTCTAGAGCACTGATGTTTTGGGGCTTTCGCTGGGCAACACGGACTTTCAACTCCCTCCAAAGGTTTTCTATGGGGTTGAGATCTGGAGACTGGCTAGGCCACTCCAGGACCTTGAAATGCTTCTTTTGAAGCCACTCCTTCGTTGCCCGGGCGGTATGTTTGGGATCATTGTCATGTTGGAAGACCCAGCCACGTTTCATCTTCAATGCCCTTGCTGATGGAAGGAGGTTTGCACTCAAAATCTCACGATACATGGCCCCATTCATTCTGTCCTGTACATGGATCAGTCGTCCTGGTCCCTTCGTGGAGAAACAGCCCCAAAGCATGATGTTGCCACCCCCATGCTTCACAGTAGGTATGGTGTTCTTTGGATGCAACTCAGCATTCTCTCTCCTCCAAAGACGACGAGTTGTGTTTCTGCCAAACCGTTCTATTTTGGTTTCATCTGACCATATGACATTCTTCCAATCCTCTTCTGGATCATCCAAATGCTCTCTAGCAAACTTCAGACATTTGCTAGGCCCGGACATGTACTGGCTTAAGCAGGGGGACACGTCTGGCACTGCAGGATCTGAGTCCCTGGCGGAGTAGTGTGTTACTGATGGTAGCCTTTGTTACGTTGGTCCCAGCTCTCTGCAGGTCATTCACTAGGTCCCCCCGTGTGGTCCTGGGATTTTTGCTCACCGTTCTTGTGATCGTTTTGACCCTACGTGGTGAGATCTTGCATGGAGCCCCAGATCGAGGGAGATTATCAGTGGTCTTGTATGTCTTCCATTTTCTAATTATTGCTCCCACAGTTGATTTGTTCATACCAAGCTGCTTGCCTATTGCAGATTCAGTCTTCCCAGCCTGGTGCAGGTCTACAATTTTGTTTCTGGTGTCCTTCGACAGCTCTTTGGTCTTCACCATAGTGGAGTTTGGAGTGTGACTGTTGTCTTTTATACTGATAACAAGTTCAAACAAGTGCCATTGATACAGGTAATAGGTACAGGTTAAGGTAATTGTAAGCCTTCAAAATGAAAAATTGAACAGAGCATATCCCTCTATAGTGTGTGCTAGCCTTAATACAAAGCAATTAATGTGATTTCTGTCTCATTTCTCTTCCCTCTGTTATCTGCATAAGTCACTTCTGACATGTCATCCCAACACCACAGAATCCTGGGAAATGGCCCACTCCCCCTCCAGCACACAGCAGGGATTTGACAGCCTCAGCTGTGCATGTTTCCCTATGAGTGTGTAGAGGGAGGTGTGTCCTTGACCTCCACTCAGGTCTCAGGTTACACTAAACTCTTTGATGTCAGATCCCTGCCCCCGCCTGCTGCTTTTTTTGTTGTATTTTGGATAGCATAGAAAAGAGTTAGAAACCTTGGCCGTTTGTGCAGCTTTTAGGGGATTGTCTCATCTCCTGATCATCTTTCTTATTTCATCTGTTGTTTCAGAACAAGTTTGATGTAACAATAGATTCTTTTTCCTTCCAGCAGAATGAAAATGGCCGAGTCCTGCCGCTATCTGGTCACGTGGGCTTTGACAGTTTACCAGACCAGCTTGTTGGTAGATCCGTCCATGAAGGATTTTGTTTCAATATCTTGTGTATTGGTAAGTTTTTTAAATGTATGTAATTCAGCTAGCAATAACACACTGGGGGCAATTTACTAAAGCTGGAGCATGCAAAATCTGGTGCAACTCTCCATAGAAACCAATCTGCTTGCAGCTTTCAATTTCAAAGCCTAATTGAACAAGTTGAAGTTAGAAGCTGATTGGCTACCAAGCACAGCTGCACCAGATTCTGAGTGCTCCAGTTTTAGTAAATCTACCCCCCTATGAAGATGAAAACTATGATTGTCATTTGCAGTCCCTTTGACAAATGCCAGTCTATGGTATGTTGACTGTTGTATGTCTGTTGATATGGGTAGAGTAGTTTGGTGGAAAAATAATAAGTAGTAGCACTTTTTTTAGAAAAATAGAAAGCAAGTATTGCGAGTTGGAGCCTGTACTAGTCCAAAGGACTATGAATGTCAATATTCCCTGACACCTCACTGGCGTTCACCTACAAATCAAAGGGTTTTATATATAAACTTTAGCTCTCAACTATCTGAGGACAAAAAGTGTGTATGGATAGGGCAATCCACACAGCAATACAAATATTCTTTAGCTAGTCTATACTAGAAGCCTAAATGTGTGTGTATTGTGCATATGTATATAAAGCTGGCCGTACACTGATCAAAATACGGCCAGTCAAGCTGGCTGGATTTTGGTTAGTGTGTGTGCTCCCACACTTCTTGTTTAAGTCTAGGTTCACATCTATGCAGGTTGCGTTTTTATGTATTTCTGCATTGCGTTTTGCATTTTGGGGCAGCACAGTGGCTAAATGGTTAGCACTTCCGCCTGGCAGTACTAGGGTTGCTGGTTCAAATCCCAACCACGGCACCACCTGCCTGGAGTTTGCATGTTCTCCCTTGCCCTGCGTGGGTTTCCTCCGGGTACTCCGGTTTCCTCCCACACTCCAAAGACATGCTGGCAGGTTAATTGGATCCTGTCTAAATTGTCCCTAGTATGTGTATGTATGAATGTAAGTTAGGGACCTTAGATTGTACGCCCCTTGAGGGTTAGGGACTGATGTGAATGTACAATATGTAAAGCACTGTGTAAATTGACGGCGCTATAGAGGTACCTGAAATAAATAAATATGTAGAAACCATTTATCTGCCTGCTAAAGCATGTTTTATTCTATTTTGCTTGTGTTCTTTTTCTTCACCTTTCTTTTGTTATACTTCTGCTTTAATTTTATCCATTAAAAGATAACACTGCTTCAGGTGATCCAACTATCTGCCTCATTAAGCCTCCATGTTGGGTACACGCCTCACCTCGCCATCACTGTATCACCGCAGAAAAGAATTGTTTGCACACCGCTATAAAACTGCTATAATTATTCCATCATCGTGAAAATGAGGACAACACACAACACAAGAAAGCTGCTGTTAACACATTTCACACATAATTGTGCTTATTCCTAACAAAGTTATAGCCGCTCTATAGTGGTGTGCAGACGATTCTTTTTTTCAGTACTTTAATGGTACATTAAAGAATCTCTGTGGTTTTGTTTGCCCTGTGTGTCTCTTTCTACTTCCTCTTCTGCATTTTCTATTCTAATCCTAGTTCTGCTAATCGGGGGCTTTTGTATAGGTATAATGAGTGTAACATTGAGCCTCTCTGTATGCCATGAATGGATGACTTTATTGCAGGGACATTTCAGCCAAAATTTGGTGAACATGTATCTGCACTGTACAAATGGAACGGTCACTTGGTTGATTTCACGATTTGATACTTCACTCACATCAAGTAATTGCTGGAGGTTACATTGGATGTTGGCCAATTAGAATTGGCTGACATCCCACAACATAATTTGACTACCCAACCCCTTTTCCTGCAGATTCATGGCAGCTACAATTCATCCTTTCAATTAGTGCTAGTGATTTTCCAGAACATGTGCAGAGCTCTTGCCAACATCTGTAATATTGTGTGGATCCAGTAATATCTAGTAGTATATCCTCTTGAGCAGTGGTAGGATCAATACTTACAGAATGAGTGGAATGTGCATGTGTGAGTAATTCCTTAATCACTTGCCCTTCAGAGGATTTACCCCGCCCTTCCTGACAACCATTTTTTTGCGATACGGCGCTGCGTTACTTTAGATGACAATTGCGCAGTCGTGCAACTCTGTACATGAAGTTTATGTCATTTTTTTTCCCCACAAATAGAGCTTTATTTTGGTTGTATTTGATCACCTGTGCATTTTAATTTTTTGTGCTATAAACAAAAAGAGACAAACAGTTTTGAAAAAAAAAACATATTTTTTAGTTTTTGCTATAAAACATATTCAATAAAAAAAAATTTAAAAAATCTAATTTTGTCATAAATTTAGGCCAAAATGTATTCTGCTATATGTCTTTGCTAAAAGAAAATCCCAATGCATGTAATTTAACTGGTTTACGTGACATTTCTAGCATCTACAAATGGTGGTGTGCATATACTGGAATTTTTTTTGTTCTCTTGTTTTTTTATACTAGTAATGGCGGCGATCAGCGACGTATAGCAGGACTGCGGGACTGCAGCAGGCATTCTGACACTGGAGGGAACTAACTGCCACTGACATCCCAATGACACTAATATAGTGATCAGTGTTAATAAAAGGCACTAACACTGTACTAATGACACTGGGCAGGGAGGGGTTAACATCTGGGGTGATCAAAGGGTTAACTGTGTGTTGTGTGTGTTTTACTAGGGAAACATGCTGCTGTGTATTTCTCTGCTTTGCCAAGAATTACACAGCAGCATGTTATTGCTGGCAGGAGAGAGACCTCTCTCCCCTGTCACTGTTTATCGGCAATCGCTGGGTGCCAGTGGGGAATCTCTGGCCGGGACTCGGTGATTGACATCTGTAGCTGCCAGCGGTGGCACGGGTAGGGTGGTGCACGCATGCTCATGCACCCTACCTAGAGATGCAAAATCATTTATATACACGTGATTTTGCACAGCCCTGCCGCCCTGTAGCTGCATTTCTGCTATAGAGCGGCGGGAAAGCAGCTAAAAATGGAAAATTTATTACAATATCTAAAGCCCCAATTCAGGTTTAACAATAACTGCCAATCAAAAAAAAAAGCAGCTTTTACTGCAGTACCCATCCTGTCTCCAGCGCTTCCACCATAGAAACTCTGCACTGACACGTGTCAGGCCTCTTCGCGTGCCACCAGGGCTTCTTTATGGCAACTGGGGCTTACAGGAGAGTGCCACTACATGAGTACAATTCTCTGCAGCATTCAGAACTGCCAATGAATAGAAGAATGATGGCTTATTGGTATTTATTGTGTAGCCCTCAGTCCCCAGAAGTACTTGCTGGTGAACAGGCGACCTGAAATAATATGAGAAGTTTCTGTGGACTTCCCCTCAATGTCATGTGACATAGGGAAAACCAGAGAACACTTCTCCTCATGTTGGCCTGCAAGCTTTGTAAATATCAGAGAAAGTACTCTTTGTATCACAATGGTGCCAGAAACAATAATGAAATATTTATTTTTTGCTGGATGCTGTGATCAGATGGTAATCAGCAGCTCTTAATATCTGTGGGTCCTGACCTGATAGAGGGGTGAAAGGGGAACAGTGTCACTGACCACAAGCTTGTTCTGATGGAGGCCTGCAGGATATATGTATCTTTATCTTCTTTCATTTGCTGCCATTTCTATTAATTTCCATTGTTCTTTCTCCCCTACCTACTCAAACCTGTCTTGCACCACCTTCCACCTCTGCAGACTGGGATTGTTGCCTCTTCTATTCCTTTTCCCAATCTAGAACTACTGCTTCTTCCCCCTCTCTCCTACTCTCTATCTCAATCCACAATGCCTTTTTCCCTCCACCAAAACCCCAAGCCCATCCCATTGAGTTACTGTCCAGTACAGCTGTGGTTGCAGAGAAAGGTGCAGACATCAGAGGTCTGTTTAGACCTCCCAACATGGCAGTTAAAAATGAATTCTATAAATACATTAAATAAAATTCTAAAAATAAGAAAAATGAAGGACTCGTTCAACTGTGCTTTGCTCTCTGAAGAGCAGTCAGCATTTGGATCGATCTTCAGAGAGCATTTGTCAACTGGTGTAGAGGCATATTGCCTTTTTTATCCGTGCACTAACGCACCACAACAGTGTGTTTTGCCTGTGGTTGTGGGATGCTTACAGAGCATGAATGGGTCTTGTTTGATCAGTGTGTAATAAGTGTATAGCATCACAGTTGTGGCATTTTAGCAAAAATATAATTTGATATTTTAAGAGGAAGAAGGGCTGTCAAGTAGGCTGTACGGGGCCCTGTGAGTTCTAACAGCAGCCCTGGGTGGTAACAAGGGTACCCCTTTACCTCTTGAGATCCCCCAGATTGACCACTACTGCTCTACAAGATGCCATTTGCTTGCTACTAACTGTGTATAAAATACAGAATATTATGTGAGCTCACAATGGGTGTAGCAGACATGATTGGGGCATGTGGCCCTGGAGAACGTAGCACCCCATGTAAAAGGATATTGCAAAATGTTGGTGGTCATGTGTCCATGCTGAATTTGTTTGTTGTTACTTTGCAGGGGAAACTGGTATTGGAAAATCAACATTAATAAACACACTGTTTAATACCAACTTTGAAGAACACGAATCCACTCATTTTGAGCCATCAGTAAAGCTTAGATCACAGACCTATGACCTCCAAGAAAGCAACGTGAGCTTGAAATTGACTATTGTGAATACAGTAGGATTTGGGGACCAGATAAACAAAGAAGACAGGTTTGTTTGACATTGGTCTGGCCATGTCGTTTCATGCCTTCAATTGTCACTACATGTCAGAAACATCTGTAATATGTTTTATGTAGGTAAATAGTTGCTACAACAACAGTTTTTTTTTGTTTTTGTTTTGTTTTGTTTTTTTATTTTCTTTGGTAAGTACCAGTAAAATCATTCATGGCAGTCTGTTCGAAATCTGTCTTTGATACTATTGACATAAAACAGATTACTTCAGCTTTTCCTATGACACGTGCTGTTGGTCGCAATAAAAAGTTGCATAATATAGAAATGAGGATTGAGTGTGCAATGGGAGCACATAATGTACAAGTATATTTGCATGGCATACTTGTACATTATGGCATACTTACCTCTGATTTTGATGTGTGATAGCTTTGCACTTTCCTATGCCATTCCACAGCTGCCAGTGCCATCTTCACTGAAGCATCTTCTGCATGTAGGGTAGCACCATCCTGGTACTAGACTCCGCTCTTTTGCCAAGAGTACACACTTTGCATGCATAAGATTTCCCTGCATTTTCTGTACTGGTGACCATAACAGAAGAGGAGGGAATTCTCTCTAATCGTGAAACAGATATTCCTGTTTCCTACTCTATAAAAAAAGAAGACAGGCCTTGGTTTAGTATTCATATATTTGTGTGTTTATAGCTTACCATTTATATGTAATCAGTATTGATGGGCTGAATACCCCTTTGTTCGGTTTGCAATCGAACATTAGAGCCTACCGAAAGTTCAGCCGCAATCTTCGAACAGCGTCAATTTTTTACTGAGCGGTATCTTACCACATCTGAGTATGCGGTAAGATACCGCTCAGTTACTAAAATACGACATGAGTTATATTAAGTCATGCAGTATTTTAGCAGTGAAACATTCATTCATGTTTCAGCTGTCAGTGGGGTTCCCTGTTGACAGCAGAATGTCAAAAGAATTGTGACAATTGAAAAAAAAAACAAAAAAAGCATGGGGTCTCCCCTCCCATCCATACCAAGCCCTTTGGGTCTGGTATAGATTGAGGGAAACCCTCCATGCCAAAATGAAGACAAAAAAAAAATGGCGTGGCCCCCCCCCCCCCCAAAAAAAAAACCCCATACCAAACCCTTTTCTGAGCATGCAGCCCAGCAGGTCAGGAAAGCACCTTATCCCCATGTTGATGGGGACAAGGGCCTGTTCCCCACAACCCTGGCCACTGGTTATGTGGGTCTGCGGGTGGGGGGCTTATTGGAATCTTGTGGGGGTCTGCGTGTGGGTGGCTTATCGGAATCCCAGATCCCGCCCATGTGAATGATTATTTGGTACATGGTAAAATGGAGTGTAAAAAAAAAAAAAAAAAAAACTGTCTTTATTAAAAATGACAATTAAAAAATGTCCCCCGAAGTAGATTCAACACCACTACCGACCCAAAACAAGAAAAAAAACAAAACCCACTCCGCTTTTGACTCTGGCTCCCGACCGTCTTGACAGTTGCACCACAATGACTGTTCTTAAATAGGGTGATGATGTCACAAGGGGGCAGGGTCATCCCGCCCCCTTGTGACATTAGCATACCCTGTGATTGGCCACAGCATTGCACTGCCAGGGCGTAGTACATTGTGAGGCGCGGGAGGCTAATAGCTCGCCGAACGCCCGTACCATTCATGTGTTTAACAAACATGATTAATAAGCAGCACGATTCCCTAAACCATGCTTGCAATTGCTTCATTTTTCATATCCTTCATATTCATTCAATATTCATATTATTTCAGCTATATGCCAATTGTGGACTACATTGACACACAATTTGAAGCCTACTTGCAAGAAGAATTAAAGATTAAGCGTTTATTGTACAAATACCACGACACCCGTATTCATGCATGCCTTTACTTCATTGCTCCCACTGGACATTCACTTAGATCCCTTGATCTGATAACCATGAAGAAGTTAGACAGTAAGGTAATTTTACACTTTGTTGTCCTTTTTTTTATTTTTTTTTTTTTTTTTTTTTTTTTTAGCTTTATGTGTATGTATGTCTGTTCCTATGTGCATGCTTGTTTATTGGATACAAGTGGAGTTTTGTCATCAGATTTCAGCTTCATATTTGTTTGGGGGATTTGATTAAAATCGAACTAAAGCCTATCTCTGGAGAAAATTAAAATCCTCCCATGCAGTGGTGCTGCCCTGCAGTGTAAAGGTTAAATGTTCATTTAGGTCTAGGGGACAGAGAAAAACACTTCTACTTACCTGATCCATGCTCCCCTACGGTCTGGCTTGTGAACTGTCCCACAGCATCCTCACTTGCAATGTACGACTGTGGGCTCTGCTATGTACTTGATGACATCACAGGGCATCTAACCACCAGAGCATAGGGGAGAATTAAAATCAATATGATATACTAACAATAAATAAATTATTATAATTTTTATAATGTACTTAACCCTCAGTATTACTACCTCATTTCAGCTGCATCCCCTGTGATTGTAGTACTGGATTGTATAAACTTCCAGCCGGGGATCACATGACCAAAGGTTTTCAGAATATCCCATCATTTGTGATCCTGCACATGCGCTCCCCCTTCACTGGTACCCACAAGCTGACGTGAGGATGATCATGCGCCCAGTTAAATAAAACCTCTCCAAGACATGCCCATACCCTTACATCTGACACACCCAGGGGCGGACTGACCATTTGGAAACTCGGGCAGTGCCCGAGGGCCCGGGGTCAGTAGGGGGCCCCATGAGATGCCTCTGGTACCTTTTTCATAGGCTTTTTTGAGTTTGGGCAAGGACACGGGCCCCATGATCTCCTATTGCCCGGGGGCCCCATGAGTTGTCAGTCCGCCGCTGAACACACCCATACATCACATGGCAGATAAGCCCATATTCTGCCTCCTAGACACCCTTCTGCTACATCTATGCCACTGTCAATCAGTTTTCATGGAAGGCGGAACAGAGACAGGCTGTATATCACGAAATATGTACTTTTTCCAAAGAAATTTTTATTTCAATTCAGTTTAAGAAACAATTTTTGATGTTTCAGATCTGTACTCCTCAACTGAATATCGGTGTCTTCATAAATTGCCTATCCTGTTTCTTTCCTAGGTGAACATTATTCCTGTGATAGCAAAAGCAGACGTGATCGCAAAGTCAGAGTTGCATAAGTTCAAAACAAAACTGATGAGTGAATTGGTCAGCAATGGAGTCCAAATCTACCAGTTTCCAACAGACGACGAGACCATTAGTAAACTGAATGCCTCCATGAATGTAAGCTTTCTGCACCACATTTACACTCATTACAGCTGTTACATAATGTTGTTTTTTTTTTTGTAATAAATATGAGTTACTCCAAACTAGTGTGGTGTGTGCTGCTTTATGCAGAACACAACTTTGCTGCAGTTGTAAGTCAAATACCAAATCCTCCAAGCAAACATACCTACAAAATGTTTGGACCCCTGAAAATTAAATATGTTACGTTAAACTAGTTATGTATGTAACTATAGAAAAGCATTTATAAACTTTAATTTTCGTCTCTGGTATATATAGTCACATGAAAAATGTGCAGAAAAGAGACTGCACTGAAAGAGTCTCAAATGAGGACAACTACGGCTAGTCTTCAGTGCAGTCTCTTTCCTGCACAATTTTTGTTTGTATTATTTAGTGGTTAGTCCCTGAGGACACCACCCGATATGTGGATGAGTCGGCTAGATTTTCTATTGTATTAGGAGAGGTTCCTGTGATTGTTTTTATTTTTTTACTATATATATATTCATATCCTTACAAATCTTGCCATTGAAGATTAAAAATTGGTCTGAATATACATCTCTATCATGAGTACAAGATCTTGCACCGTTGTCATTTCAATGTATTAAATGCAATAAACCTTCACACAAATGCACAATAAATATTCATTCCTAAAGCAGTTTGTATGCATCTGTCCCACCGCCTGTTCCTCTGATCTTGATTGTCTTGCAGAGTTTGCAAAGTATACAACCTCTGTACATTTTACAGCCTCTTCTGATACAAAGTGTCTCAATATTTGTTTAGATAAAAAGATTTATAATTTGACACTCTTTGCAGAGGACTGTGTTTACAGATATTCTGCTGGATACATTGTTTCTGCATCGGATTATAGCCTTATTTTATCGTTAACATACTGTTCTCTGAATAAGAGAACTATTGAAAAGCATTTAGTCTGTGAGACTTTTATTATTGTTGGATACATTGTTTAGGCATTGGATTATAGTCTTGTTATTTTAACATTGACACACTGTTCTCTGAATAACCGCATTAACTATTAAACTATGATTGGTTTATGAGAATTTTATTATTTGGTGTGTCAGATGCCTACGCCCTACTGCGCTCTCTGCTTCCTCCAATCACCCCCTACATCACTACAGGACAGAAACCTTATAAGTAAGGCAAACCATAGATGATGATCTGCCATAGATGATGATGTGATTTTCTTCCCTGCAATCATGTAGTCTGTGTTCATGGGGGAATCCCTCCTGCAACACTTTTGTGTTCTGCCAACAGGGAGCTTTTCCTGCTAGAACACAATGATTATTGCTGGCAGATATAGCCGCAGGCAGTAATTGCATGCAAAAAATCCGACAGCCTTGTACCGAAATCACTGGATGGATTGACTCTTAGCCAGTCCCTGCTGAACCAGTCAAGATTTGATCCATCTATGGCCAGTTTAAATCATCAGTCGATCCGATGCTGCATCTGTCCCCCGTGGTTTCTGCACTGTTGATTGCTCAGTTCTCAGCATTCTGTGAGTAGAGAGCCAGGGACTGTCAGTCTCTTCGCTCTCTGCTTTGCCCTTCCAGCACTCACTGGAGCTCTGGGCTGTGGAGGGGGGAGTAGATCACTGAAAGTCAGGGGCTGATCCAAGCTTCTAGGTGTATCCCGACCATATCGTCAGGGTCTTTTCAGAGCCTGCACTGGCTCTGTGACGTCGGCCAACAGCAGGCGTCAGTCAGCTATTGGCTGAAAACAAATCACAGGAGTAGCCAAAATAGCTTTGGCTATACTTCTCCTTTTAACATCAACCTTTTTCTTCTCCCTTATCCTAATACCATAAATTCACACATTACCCAAATCCTAAAACTGTACATGTCACCTAACCCTTTTTGTCTGAATGCTAATAGTAAACAAAGCTGTAATTATTTTGTTGTGAACAGAAAACAGAGTTTTTTTTTTTTTTTTCAATATTATATAAAAATACACTTTTGTTAAACCTTTTTTGCAGGCACAGCTACCATTTGCAGTGGTAGGTAGTATGGAGGAGGTTAAGATTGGAAACAAGATGGTAAAGGCCCGGCAGTATCCTTGGGGGATTGTACAAGGTAAAATTGTTGTTGCTTTTGAAGTTCTTTGTTTAAACAGAAATGTTGAGTGTAGGAGCCTTCTTAACAGAAACAATGAAAAAAATATCTTCTAATTTTTCATCTTTTTTTACCTACTGCTGCATATTTACATATGTAGCATTTCATCTTCTAGTCTGTTGAGAGCAATATTGTAGAGTTAATTTTACATGCAACATGCTAAGACCCTGTAAATTAAACCCTCTAAAACACAATGGTGTTGATTTACTAAAAGCAAATAGGTTGTTTGCTTAGCAAAGTGAATTTTCATATTGCAAGGGAATTTTCCCTTTGCATAATGAAGAGATGATCCTAGGTTTTATTGGACCCAACATGCGTACGAGCTTGGCTGTCCTTTTTGTGGTCTGTACAGGCCGCTACTTCATTATTAAAGGCAAGTCTTTGGGAATGTAATAAATATATTTTGTGACTGCATGATGCCAATTCTGTAGTTTTTTTTTTTTTTTTTCAGCCATAATACTGCATGCTATAGACATGTAGTAAGAGGTAAATCACAAACCGTAGACATGTAACATTTTCACTTCCCTCAGCATGAAGCGTCAGTTTTACTTTTATCAATTCTGTGTGTTGAACACCCCTGTATACTATTAACAGTGCATGAGGATGTACAGTGGGTAAATAATTATTTTATCCCCTGCAGATTTTCTAAATTTGCCCACTAACAAAGAAATGAAGGGTCTATAGTTTTTATCATAGATGTATTTTAAATGATAGAGACAGAATATCCACCAAAAATACTGAAAAAAACCACGTGATACAAATGTTATGAATTGAGTTGCAGTTCAGTAAGTAAAATAATTATTTGATCCTCTACCAACCAACAATAATTCTGGCTCCCACAGACTGGCTATGTGCTCAGGTGGTACACAGATTAGTCTTGCCAATTTAAGAAGGTGCTCTGAATGACAACTCGTTATGTGTATAAAAGACACTTGTCCACAGAATCTTTCTTCCATTCAAACCTCCCCACCATGAGCAAATGACCAAAGAACTGTCAAAGGACATTGGGGACAAGATTATAGACCTGTACAAGGCTGGAATGGGCTAAGAGACCATCAGCAAGAAGATTGGAGAGAAGGAGACAACTGTTGGAGTGATTTTTCGCAAATGGAAGAAATACAAAATAACCATCAATCGCCCTCAGTCTGGAGCTCCATGCAAGATTTCACCTCCTGGGGTAAGGATAATCATGAGAAAAGTGAGGTATCAGTCCAGAACTACATGGGAGGAGCGTGTGAATGATTTCATGGCAGTTGGGACCACAATTGCCAAAAAAAACCATTGGTAACATAGTACGCCACCATGAATTGAAATCCTGCAGCTCCCGCAAGGTCCCCCTCCTCAAGAAGGCACATGTTCAGCCTGAAGTTTGCCAATGAACATCTAAATGACTCAGAGAAGGACTGGGAGAAAGTGCTGTGGTCAGAGGAGACGAAAATTGAGCTCTTTGGCATTAACTCAACTCGCTATGTTTGGAGGAAGAAAAATGCTGACTATGACCCTAAGAACACCATCCCTACAGTCAAGCACGGAGGTAGAAACACTATGCTATGGGGCTGTTTCTCTGCTAAAGGTACAGGCCAAGTATGTTGCATTAAGGGGCCAATGGATGGGGCCATGTATTGTAAAATCTTGGATGTGAACCTTCTTCCGCCAGCCACAACACTGAAGATGGGTTGTGGATGGGTCTTCCAGCATGACAATGACCCAACAAATACCACCAAAGCAACAAAGGAGTAGTTTAAGAAGAAGCACATTAAGGTCATGGAGTGGCCTAGCCAGTCTCCAGACCTTGATCCTATAGAAAATTTATGGAGAGAATTGAAACTTTGAGTTTCCTAGCGACAGCCAAGAAACCTTAAGAATTTAGAGAAGATCTGTAAACCAGAACCCCTCCTGAGATGTGTGTAAACCTGGTAACCAACTACAAGAAATGTTTTACCTCTGTGCTTGCCAACAAGGGTTTCTCCACCAAGTACTAAGTCATGTTTTGTTTGGGGATAAAATACTTATTTTACTCACTGAACTGTATCTCAATTCATAACATTTGTATCATGTTCTTTTTCTAGATTTTTGGTTGATATTCTGTCTTTATCATTTAAAATACACATATGATAAAAAATCATAGACCCTTCATTTCTTTGCCAGTGGGCAAACCTACAAAATCTACAGGGGATCAAATAATAATTTTCCCCACTGTTTTTTTTTTTTTGTTTTTTTTTTTTTTACATTGCATTTGAAAAGCCGCTGTGCAAATACCGTGTGGCATACCTACATTTTTTTTCTCTGGGAGCTCTATATATATATATATATATATATATATATATATATATATATATATATATATATATATATATATTTGGGGGTTCTAAGTAATTTTCTAGCAAAAAAAACAAACAGATTTTTTACATGTATGACAGAAATGCCAGAATTGACTCTGTAGGCAAGTGGTTAAACCTGCAGGAGGACCATTTTTTTGTATTGTTTTCAGGAGACTTCACTACTATTTTGTAGAGCTCAAATGTAGAGCATGATCGAAAGGCCTATAGGATAGTGGAGCAAATACCATCTGAGTCAAGTCTTCAGATAAAGACATGCAGTCCACTCAAGTGAACAGGTGCAGAACTCCATGGAAAATGTTGAAAAAAATGAACTCCTAACTGTGGCTTTCATAATTCATGCATGAAAGAGTTAAAAATCAGCAGCTACAGTATTTGTAGCTGCTGACTTTTAATTTTTTGGGGGGCCACTAAAGATTCTCTTTAATTATATTCATCTTTATACTGCTTACGTTAGTAATACAATAGGAAGGTATATTATATTTACTTGTTTTAAACTGTATTTTTTTTTATATTTATTCAGTTTGTTTCAAATATTAAAACTGAAATAAACAGTGTTTTCAGTTTGTAGTGCTCAGATACAGTTAAGTTTCGCTTTAAGGCCACATGCACACTGGATGTTTGGCCAGCTCCTCTGAATGCCTTTTCTCCTGGCAGGCATGCACACTGGCTTAAACATTGCTGCTTCTACAGGAGTTTTGTGTTTTGCCTGTAGAAGCAGCTCAGTGTTATCCTACGTGCCCATGCACATTAGGACAATTAGAGGCATATTTTAAGCTCAACGTATAGGGGCCGGAAAAAAAAACCTACTGATTAGTGGTTTTTCTGGCAGAAAGCTCTAATCAAAAACGCAAAACTCCTGTGAACTTGCCTAAACTGTGTACAATAGTATGTGCTCAATATCGGTGTTGTTTTTTCCTGCCAAGCAAACTGGCTTTTTATTATTTTTTTTTAAGCCCAGTGTGCATGTTTTCAAATGCGATTAGTTGCCTTTAGTGGCGTAAAAAGTTTGGGCATTCATTAATTCCATTGGCTGGAATATTAATTTATTCTAACCATTGAAATGAATGAAAGCTCTAGCACTAAATGCGCCTAGCCTTTAGGTGCATTTACACACATTTACAGGTGTTTATGTGCGTCAAGTGTTTTTACTGTTCAAACCCTCCTCTCTTGAAACTCCAAGTGATGAGTGTTTATTTTTCTGCCTCTAAACTTTCATGTCTCTATACCCCTGTAAATGCCTGTGTGTGTATGTGGACACAAGGCTAACGTAGAGGAGCATTTAGAGGCAGAAAAAAATGACAAACGCCTTTAAAGCCCAGTGTGCAGGAGACCAAAAGTTCCCTGAAAACTGGAGTTCTACTTTAAAAAAATTGCTCCACCCAGTGACTATAACTCATTTCCAAGTGGAGTATGCTGGGCTGAGTTACAAACTGGTTTCTTACATCTCTATGGTGTGGATTTTAGTGGAGAGAAATTTAAACAGCTGCCCAATGCCTGCTCGCTCTATGGTAAGTGTTCATCTAGACACTCATCAGAGGAAACCTGCCTGTTGCCTCCTTCCCTCTGCTCAGCTAGGCATTTCCCAGCTGAGCCTCCCTCTAGTTAGAGTCTGTACATTAGCTTTACCAAAGGAGTAAGGCCAGTGTGCAGATCTGCACCTGGTGCTGCTAATATCTGTGCCACAGTTTATATGATACAGAAACACAGCATTTCTACAACAATTCACAATTTGTGATTTGTCAATTTTTGGCCCAGGTGTCTCAAGCCTATTTCAACACGCTGTGTTGTTTATTTGCCACATGTCTGGTGCACTTCACATGTGAGCCAAAATACACTGCTCAAAAAGTAACACATTGAAAACACATCAGATCTCAATGGGGAAAAATATCATGCTCGATATCGATACTGGTATGGACTGGGTAATGTGTTAGGAACGTAAGGATGCCCTATCGTTTGATGGAAATGAAAATTATCAACCTACAGAGGACTGAATTCAATGACACCATGAAAATCAAAGTGCAAAAATTATGTAGCAGGCTTGTCCATTTTGCTGAAATTTAATTGCAGCAACTTAAAATGGTACTCATTAGTTTTTATGGCCCCCACCTGCTTGTATGCATGCCTGACAACGTCGGGGCATGCTCTAATGAGACGATGGATGGTGTCCTGAGGTATTTCCTCTCAGATCTAGACCAGGGCATCACTGAGCTCCTGGGCAGTCTGATGTGCTACCTGGGGGCGTCAGATGGACTGAAAACATGATATCCCAGAGGTGTTCTGTTAGATTTAGGTCAGGCGAGCATGGGGGCCATTCAATGGAATCATTACCCGATACCTAATGACAATCAGGGTGCCATTGACTAGCCTGTAGAGGTCTGTGCATCCCTCCATGGATATTCCTCCCTAAACCATCACTGACCCACCAACAAAACAGTCATGCTGAACGATGTTTCAGGCAGCTTAACATTCTTCACTGCTTCTCCAGACCCTTTCATGTCTGTCACATGTGCTTGGGGTGAACCTGCTCTCATCTGTGAAAAGCACAGGGTGCCAGTGGTGGACCTGCCAATTCTGGTGTTCAATGGCAAATGCCAATCAAGCTCTATGGTGCCTGGCTGTGAGCACAGGGCCCACTAGAGGACATTTCTGATGGTTTGGTCAGCTATTCCCACCAGTGGCCTGCTGGAGGTATTTTTGTAGGGCTCTGGCAGTGCTCACCCTGTTCCTCCTTGTACAAAGGAGCAGATACCGGTTCTGCTGATGGGTTAAGGACCTTCTACGGCCCTGTCCAGCTCTCCTAGAGTAACTGCCTGTCTCCTGGAATCTCCGTCATGCTCTTGAGACTGTGCTAGGAGACACAGCAAACCTTCCGGCAATGGCATGTATTGATGTGCCACCACCCTGGAGGAGTTGGACTGCCTGTGCAACCTCCGTAGGGTCCAGGTATTGCCTCATGCTACCAGTAGTGACATTGACCCTAGCCAAATGCAACACTAGTAAAAAACAGTCAGTAAAGATGAGTAGAGAAACAATTTCAATGGCCTCCACCTGTAAAACCATTCCTATTTTGGGGGTTGTGTAATATTTACCCATCTAGTGCACCTGTTAGTTCATTAACACCAAAGCCGTTTAAACTGATTAACATCCCCCTCTGCTACTTAACTGACCAGATCAATATCCTAGGAGTATAATTGACTTGATACTATACTCTGGTTGAAAAGTGTTCCTTTAATTTTTTGAGCAGTGTATGTTGTTGAAAACAATGGTTCATTAGGCCCAATGTATGATATGAATGGATGTATGGTTTTCTTTTTTTTATAAGGGGGAAATTAGGTTGACTGTCTTTAATCATCATTTTGACAAGAACCAAGTTGCATGCTTTTTGGGGTATGGCTCCAGCCTCTTGCTCAGATTATCCCTCCGTTTCTTTCCTTGCATTATAAAGGTTCCAACCATGTACAGCCATATCCTTAGATTTACTCATTCTCTCTGTGTGCTTGTATTAAAGTGTTACTAAACCCAGGACCCTGCATTAACTATATCTGGTCTCCCACAGTACACAGAACATGGAAATGCAATTAGTTTAGAAAATATAAACTGCTAAACATCTTTTTTTCATCAGCAGTTAGAGCAGGTTGTGTGCTTTCTATCAGTGTCCAGCAGAGCATTGGTTAAAGCTTGTAGGAGGTGTTTTCATTCTCCGCTGATTGTCCTATGAGACTGCATAACCCCTGACCCTCTGTCTGGTCGTTGATTGGCCCTGTGCTGATCACATGCAGTCTCCCAAGACAAAAAAAAAAAAACTCTCTAGCAATACACACCGAACTGAGCACGTGCAGCTTGCCCCCAAGGCTCTGTTCTATCAGCAGATGGATTGGGGACAGTAGAAGAATGGAAGGATCAGAGAAGACAGGATCAAACATCCTTTTTACTCAATGTGGAGTATTAACCCCTTAGGTTCCACAATGAGTATAACCAGGGCTGTGGATAAGGGGGCACCACCAGTCCTCCTGTACAGGGCCCAGGCAGCTCGGTAAATTGGATGTGGGCAGGGAGGGTGATCAGCATGGCAGGTGGGCAATTATTGGAACTGATCCCCTGTATGGCTCTCTCTGCAGCAGCTGAAAGCTGGCTTCTCCTTCCACTGGCTTTCAACTGCTTCAGAGAGACCCATACAGAGGATCGGTTCCAGTAATTCCCCTCCACTGCACCCATCACCCTCCCTGCGCACCATATATTTTCGCCTGATTCCTAGGCCTCCCTTTGTGCCCCCAGTGCTGCTTGCTTCCCTCTCTTTTCCATCGACAGCTACAAGCACACAAAAGGATTCTTCAGGATGGAGAGTGGGGGAAGAGTCCCATAAATATGTCATATTTACCAGCCTCTTCTCTAATTGGGCGCACAATGAGTGATTTGTACTGATCTCTCACTGTGTTCATTCATAACTGAAGCATGGTAAACTGTTTTTTTTTTTTTTGCTTTCTTTTTTTTTGGGGGGGGGCAGGGTGGGGCCTGTCAGGTTGGCTGTATGGGGCTCCATGGTTTCTAACCGCAGCCCTGAGTATAACAGTCATGCTTTACTGTGTATACAGAAACATGGTACAGAAAAGGGCACTGCTCACAAGATCAAGATGTCCTCCTGGTATCATGGTATGCTGCAGACGAATCCCAAGAGCTAGAATGGTCATCCCTAAATAAAAGCAAATACTAGATGATATTAAATAAAAGCAAGGTTATGCTGTGTGAATATGATGGTTCAGTTGAATGCAAAGGTGCTGGCACAACTACAAGTTGGACAAGCATTTCTCTAAATGAAAGTGCTCATTACTGTAGTGCAGCCCTAAACAGTCCTCTCTTCCTCCAGCCTTGCAGTGGGATGTTGATACAGGGCTGCAGGTCAAGAAACCCTTGGTGCCAGGGATGATTACATTTTGTTGCATGTTTTCTTGGGAATTCCTAAGATTGTTGATGCATATATGCTTCATCACCCATCTGTTCTTTTCCAAATAGTGGAAAATGAGAATCACTGTGATTTTGTGAAGCTACGTGAGATGCTAATTTGCACTAACATGGAGGACCTAAGGGAACAGACACACAATAGACATTATGAACTTTACCGACGCTGCAAGTTAGAGGAAATGGGATTTCAAGACCTGGGTCCTGGAGATAAGCCCGTAAGGTAGGTTGATGTCTCTTTCATACAGTTATGTGATCTGTTGGGAGTAATATTATTGTACTGTTGTTAGCAATTCTAACTTCAGACCGAGGACCATGCAGCACTGGCATCCCCAAATGTAATCCTGATGAGGACACATATCTGCATGGAGTTTGCATATTTTCCCTGTGTTTGTGCGGAATTCCTCCATGTATTCTGGCTTCCTCTCCTGCTCCAAAGACATGTTGGTAGGTTAAATGGCTCCTGTTTAAAACTGGTCCTAGTATATATCTGCATGCTTGTAAGATACAGGACCTTACATTGTAAGCTCTTTGAGGTCGGGGACTGATGTGCATGGACTGACTCATGTGATTTACTGTGTGTTGCTGTATAAATACCTGCCATAAATAAATGTTTACTGTCTGAAACATGTTTTCAGCAGAGATTTCTCTTACCTGTGTAATCTGCTAGCAATCTACGGTTTTAAATAATCGTTTAAATGCAAATAAAACTATTTTAGTTACTACTGTTGCTGTCACGTGCTGGAAAATGGGTTACCTGGGCACAGGGCCCATGGAAAGCATGCAGGAAAATGACCCGACCGTGTTTTGTGGCCTCACCCTGCACCTGTTGCTTGCACAGCTGTTTGGTACTGTGCTCCGCTGAGTCAGCTTTGCTAGGAATTTCAGTAAAGCTCACACAAAATGCTGATTGTTGTCTCAGGACTGGCACAAATGGAAATAATAATAAACTAGTGCTCTGGTACTACACTGTAACCTTCTGATTGACACTTTTCTCTAAGGGAAAGCTCATTTTATAGCCTAGGGTTTGCGGACTGGAAATCTCTTCATTCCTTTTTTTTTCTATGTAGTTGATACTAGTAAAAATGAAGGAATTGACACATAAATATTTGAATAAGTAGCTAAATCGGATGAAGTTGAATGGGCCCTACAGTCTTTTTAATCTTTCTTAGATATTATTATTATTATTATACAGGATTTATATTGCACCAACAGTTTGGACAGCGCTTTACAAAGTGCTATGTGTATGTAGTCCATTCAATATAAATCCTCTTATGGATTAGCAATTCTTAAAAGTGTTACTAAACCCACAACAGTAAAATCAGTCTGTATATGCAGTAAAGCATGCTGGTTATACTCACCGTGGAACCTAAGGGGTTAATCTTCTGCACTGTGTAAAAAGGCTGTTTGATCCTGTTTTCTCTGCCCCTCCTCTTGTTCAAATGTCCACCTGATAAGACAGACTGAACCCATAGTCACATGCTCAGTTTAGTGTGTATTGCTAGAGGTTTTTTTTTTCTTGGGAGAGTGTATGTGATCAGCACAGGGGGCCAACCAGCACTGTCCAGACAGAGGTCAGGGGTTCTGCATGCTCCTAGAGCAAAAAGAAAACTCCTCCTTCAAGCTGTAACCAGTGTTCTACTGAAGTCACAAGACTGTTCTAACTGATGAGAAAAGGTATTTAGCAGTTTATATTTACTAAAATAATTTCATTTCTATGTTCTGTGTACTGTGGGAGACCAGATATAGTGATTGCAGGGTCCGGGGTTTAGTAACATTTTAACCTTTTTTTTAGTTGAGGCAGCCTTTGGGCTCATTTTACACCTGTGGGTTTGGGGTGGTAAAGACACCTCTGAGTTGTGTATTTACTGCCCCCTTAACTTGGAAATGCAACAGTCAGGGGTGCACACATTCTACAGCCACTAGTAGAAGCAAGCCCTTTAGGAGTATGCAAAATCTCAAGGCGCCCCAGTCTGAAATGTAGAAAAACATTAAATGGGTCTAATCAATGGGGAATATGAGCCTGTGATGATGCACAAAACCTCATTTATGAAGGTGACTTTACATCAAAAGCTCCTCCATCATGTTGGAGTCTTCCTTACAAGTCAGAGTCCCTGCTTCACATCAGATTCACCCATCACTGAGTCTTCTCATCACATCAGGGTCCCTCGTTACAGAGCTGCTACCCAAAAAACACACAGTTCCCTCTTCACATGGGAGCCCTACCTTTTGCCTCAAACAGCATGGCAGGGGGTGGGAGGTAGAGACGGTCTGAATGAACCAGACTTCTTTCCTCTCCTGAAAACTGGGGATGCTCCTCTATGCTGTCTGCCCTGGATCAGTGTCATGAGTTGCCAACACTATAGCAATGAATGCAAATGGGTCCTGTGCGGTGGAACCCAAATGGCACCCCAGTTGAGCAAAGCTTGTTTCTGTGTATGGTTTGGTTTGAAATCCTAGAACATGGGACATCAATATTTGCTCATGACATATGCAGACTGTGCTTTGATGATCATCCCGTCCACCAGACTTCTAGGAGTCTGAGTTTTTATGACTGAAAATAATAGACTGCGGTCTTTTGGCATAAAAACCTAAAATGCTTTTGGTAGCAGAGACCAAGCATCTTTTGCCTAGGCCTGGCAACATAAGAGAACTCATCAGTGTTTTGTTTTTTTTTTTTACTTTATTCATGCTAAGCAAGAGACATTTCTTAAAGCGATACTAAAAGGCTCACTTTTTTTTTTTTTTTTTTAAATAACAAACATGTTATACTTACCTGCTGTGTGCAGTGGTTATCCACCGATGCTCCAGGCACCTCCTTTCTGTCGGGTGCCCCCATAGCAAGTAGCTTGCTATGGGGGCATTAAAGCAGGCTGTTCCCAAGCCTCTGCTCTGTGTGTCCATTCACACACGGAGCCCCACTCTCTTCTCATTTGCTGATTGGCTGTGATTGACAGCAGCAGGAGACAATGGCTCCCGCTTCCTGTCTCAGCCAATGAGGAGGCAGAGACCCTGGACAGCCAAGGCTGTTGTTCACATCAGTGAATTGCGATGGGGCTCAGATAAGTAATGAAGGGGCTGGGGGCACTGCTGCACACAGAAGTTTTTTTTTACCTTCATGCATAGAATGAGCCTTTACAACCACTTTAAGCCCCGTACACACGTTGAGAATATTGAACAAATTATGTGCCTTTTCTTTCTTTTTTTTTTTTTTTTTTTGTTAGTCTCATATCGAATATATAAAGAGGTTACCAAAGTTAGGAAAATTCTTGAAGACAGAATAAAAATTCGGAAGTGATGTATTGTATTTTCAGATAAAAACTGTACTGATTGAATGAAAATCGTATGATCTGGTATCGTACGAGAAACATTTTCATGCTTGTCCCTTAGAATCATTTCGGACGAAAACTGTGTACTAATGATCAGATTATTGTACGATCGTTTCAAAAGTAGTATTTTTCAGACGATTTTCTGATTGTATGTACTAGACTTTACTCAACATGATTTTTTGGTTTTATAATGTTTATTAGTTGTAAGTTGATTAATATAAAGTGTGAATTTTCATAATAGGTCCACCTTAAAGTGGTAGTAAAGTCTGTTTTTGTGCTTGTACCTACAAGTAAGCCTATAAAAAGGCTTACCTGTAGGTACTGTAAATATCTCCAAAATATGCAATGTTTTAAAAGATATTTACTTGTGTAGCAGCACCGGCACATGGAAGGAATCAGAGCTGTGTGCCGTAAAAAGTGACTCCCGCACACATGCGTGGGAGTGACATCATCGTAGTTCGACCATTCAAGCCGCTGGAGCTCACAAATCCGGAAGAAGGACCCAGAAGAAGTGACAGCTCCCTGCTGGAGGGCTTTGCTTTAACCTCCTCAGCGGTCTGATTATTTCCGATTTTTTTTGTGCTGAAAGCGGTACCATTTTTTTGCATGGAAATATGTAGTTTTATATTGTTCGCTGTAATTTTTAGGAATAACTCACTGAAATCTGTCCGAACAAGAGTCTAGTAAACATCCCGGGTAGGATAAAATTTGAAACACGAAATCATAAAATCATAATTTAATAAATAATCATAAAAATTAATAATATAAATTTAATTCAATAATGTAATCAAACCAAAAACACTGAAATTTGAAATACAGAGGCAAATTCGCACATCGCTGAGCAAAGTCGCAAAATCGTTTTCAGTGTCTGATGACAAATTTCCCCACGAATCATTATCACTCAATTCTGCAAGTGGTTCTAATTTACTATCGCTGTTCTCTAGCTGGTCTAAAACCGCTTTTGACATAAAGGGACGCTTTTTGGATGCCATGGACTTTTCTAAGTTTCCAGGCAGAAAGAACAGTCAAAATGCAGGCAGGGCACAGGACAAAGCAGTAGGGACAAAATGTATGTGAAATGTTTTGAAACAGCAATGTTTTACTATGTAATAATCATTTTAAAAAAAATGACATTTTTTTAAAATTTAAAATTTGCCACCGGTTCCGGCGCCCGTACATCCCGACGTCACAGGGACCGGAACACGGAAACCGGATGCCGGCATCGGCCGGAGGAGATAGCCGATGACGCTGCAGGGTACACATCGTGGGAGCGAAGGACAAGGTAAGTGCTGCAGGGACTCCTTGAGCAACGCCGCATGGTAAGCCCGAGTGTAGCTCGGGGTTACCGCTCTTGATACTCAAATATTACCCCGGGCTACACTCGGGAATACCGATAAGGAGGTTAAGGTAAGTTTCACATAATGTGCTAGTATGTGATGCATACTAGCACATTATGACATTGCTGTTCAGGGCAAAAGTTTTGTTTTTGTTTTTTCTTTTTTGTACTAGTGGGTTTACTACCACTTTAAATATCAAGAGTTAGATATGTCTTTGTGTTTAGCACCAGACAGGAATCTGGACATGCATTTTACTGGTTGTGTGATAAAAATGGATGGCCAGGCTTTCTGTTTCCAATTAGGATATGTTGTGTAGGGGGTTGTACTGCTGTTTCAATCAGGCATGTTAAGTTTGTCTGTTGGTTTATAGTTTGACCATTTAAGCTAAGGTACGACATGTTTTGTAGAGCTGTTAATGGCACTCCATTCCTGTGTCACAAACATATGTTCCACATATACATTCACTGGCTTTGCCCTGGAGCTTCGGCTCCTGTACTTAAAGAGGCCTAATTCACAACATATTTTTGGCTTGGAGTCACATATTCAGGCTGAACAAT